CAATATTGCAATATTGATTTCTGCTATATTGCCCTTTATCTATATATTAAAGAGAGAAGGAAGCATGCCTAAATGCATCTAGCATGCAGCATTTCTTTTACTGCCTTGCTGTCTAGAGCTTTACAAAGTGTTACCGGTTTTGGCATACAAAATAAGTTAGATTTGTTATTACTGTCAAAGAGACAGGCAATATAATTTCATTTAAATGTATGCATCGTTAATGTGTCATTGTCTAATAATGCTGAATTAACAGGTGAGGGATAGTCAGACTAACAGGTAGCAATAAGTAGTTTTAGCAAGTGTGAACAAGCGCATAATGTACTGCACATAGCAGGTTGCATACTGTGCAGGCAAAGCAGTATGTAGGAGATGAAATGAAGAATGATAGAGAATTTTCTTCCCATTTGTGCTTTTTGGGAATTAAACAGCTGGTGCAGCTTTGCACATTGGAATGTAATGAGCAACTAAATACAGCATGACCTTCAGGACTGGTGATGACATGCTTAGCAGCAATAAATTAGACAACCTCCTCATCTTCATAATTTAACTCCACCTAGATTGGCTGAAACTCAAATGCAGTGTTAAAAGAGGAATTAAGCAAATCCAGTGCTAGACAGAAATTACCACCGAATAGGGTGACATATGTACTTGAATAGGACAGATCCATCATTATCATGATGATTTCAAGGTTATCTTCACATCTGATTCCCCCCCCCGCAAATTGTACCCAGGGATTATGTCATTAATCAATGGAGCAATCTGTACCTCTTGAGGACCTAGGGCTTTGCTAGCTTTCTATGCATGGTAATCAGCAGCCTTAGCAACAGTTATCCAGGCATAATGAAGGAAATTATCCTACCCCTCTTTTACACAAGAAATGTCACTTCTCTCCCGGTAAAGTCATACAAGAGGAGGATCAATAAATAAATGTTAAATTGTACTTGAAAAATACTTTAGCAGTGGCTGGAACCACAGTACCTATGGTTAATATGGTTTCCATAATAGCAAAACATAGTACACATATTTAAAAACTCATCAATATTTCTAACACAGAATCTTGCAAAATCACAGCATTCATGCCTTTATTTTTATTTTTTTAACTGGGGGTATTGTGCCGAATCTATGATGGTACTAGAAAATGTTGTTGATCTGTGAGCCCTAACAGTGTGCAAATGTAAGTAAATGCAAGTAATCAAGTATTAGCAGACTTACCATATGGTGTACAGGGACAAAAATCTCTGTTATGGGAAAGCCAGAAGAAACTATTCAACATGGTCTTCCTATTTCTTGTGCTATTCTTTCTTTGTGTTATATTTTGAATATAAAAAGAATAAAGCTGTTAAGTAACAGGCAATGAAATACAAAGTAAGTAATTCTTTTTTTTAAGGCACTCGCAGAGCACTAATTCAAAGACACACCCAAACAATGTGAGCTCTTTTCCTGTACTCTGGATAACATTATGAAGAACATACAGATCACATGAAAGAGAATGTTTCTGCTTAAGCTTTTTATGAAAGCTCATCTGGGAACAAATCCCTCAGGATTCACTGAGAAAATTTCTGAGTAAAAGTATTTGTATTTGTATTTGTATTTG